GCCCAAGAGATTGAGAAAGTGACCAGTGAAAGCACACTTCCCGAAGAAGATCTCGGTAAACCGCCAGTCTTTAATTTTGCTTTTAAAATCAAATCAACTGATTCATTACTTCGAAAGAGTATTTTTCAAAAAAATCCTCTAGAAATTTACTTACTGAAGCGAACCAAGTGTCACTGCATTTGCTGTACGTCGATACTCTTGTAATACTAAGGTCCCGCACCAGCAGTTCTGATTGTCTTGAGCATTTTATGCCTTGGATTTTAGTCTCCACAGGATTTTGCCTAGCATTCTTTTATCTCTCAAATAAAGCTGATGTGTTGATCTTTCAAGATTGGAGATGTGGAGCGGCCAACTGTTCTTAAATTTTCCGCTGAAGTATTTTGTGTGCGCCACGCTTATCAACGTTGAGAAACTTAGTAAAGAAACAAACGCACAGGAATACTAATATAAATACAGATGGGAAGAAATCAAAACTATTTATGCAAATAAATGTGTATATCACTAATATGGTCCACCCATGCTGGCTATCAAGAGAGTCTTCGTATTCTCAATATACGTGTGTGCATATCTATATGTATTACTTACACGTACGCAATATTATCAGCTGGGAAAACGTTTCCGTTTGTAAAGCTGCATGCGCCCTGCTGTAGCTGAACCTCGTCAGTACATCAATTCTTGCGTAAATCCATGTTTTTTTTACAAAAAATCGCACAGTGTATACTAATTTTGGTTATCGAATTGAAGTACTGACGAAGGACGAAAATGAAGAAAACATGGCGCGTTTTGTTCGTAGTTCATCCATAAATCAGTCACCGACACATATTCATTCGATGTCCTCGGTGGATGGACTCAGTAGGCGAATTACACGCTCCCTCTCAACTACATCATCAGTAGTCAATCGAGATCTCGAGGAACTGAAGGTAAGCAATACACATCTACACATAAACCCTCATTTTCATAAGAAATTATGTCCAAGCTGATTATGTCGAAAATCGATATGTCCGAGTTTTACAAGTTAGTAACAACTGTTGGAGTTTATCCTCTTCATTCACCAAACACTAATGTTTTTTTTTTAAATAGTAGTGATGTGAATTAAAGTAACTTTCGCAAAGTCCATGTGTGGCCTGCGGCGAGACCTTGAAACACAAAAACGAAAAGGGGGGTTTCCTTTGCTTAACAGTTTCGCTACTTTTCGGTAGAAAAAAACCAATTCGAGGTACGCAATCCAGGATCAAAGGACCTGACATAGCTACTCCTGGTGCAAGGGAGTATCCAATAGCAATACAAAAAAGGGATACCTCTTTGATAGCCCGGGCGCTGTAGGTATTATTGGTATTTAAGTCTGTGGGTATTGGCTTCCTAGCTAAAGTATGTAAGTGAATTCTGCGATGTTAGCACACTACAGAATCACAGATACGAAGTTGCGCAGCATGAAACAACTGTATTCCATGCTAAGATGGCAAGGATATAAATATAGCTACTTGTATTGTTATTTGCTCTGTAATGAAATTCCTTCTAAAAAGTGCCCTTTTCAAATGTAATTTCCGATTACAGCAAGAGGCTAAGCAGGCGGACGTGAAGGAATCAGGCTTATTGGATATCATACGATTTGCTCGACAGGAATGGTTGCTGCTATTCTTTGCATTACTTGCCGCGTTGCTTAGGGGATTCGCGTTCCCCATATTTTCGATCATCTATGGTGGAATGTTTCGGGTATGTACTATACGAAACCAATGAGTGAGAGCGAGGAAATCTAGAAAATATGATAAAAACAGCAAAAATATGAATTTAGCTGTCGTTTCATCACACTGCACCTTCCCATTGTCTGCACAACCAGTACTTTTTTGAAAGTTGCTGTGCGGGAAAGCATATCACTTATACTAGCAGATAGCAGAAGTGATATGCTTCCACGCACGGTAGGTTTCAAGCGTTTTCTAATTTTTCTTTTTTTTTTGCCCGAAGCTATGCTATACGTCTTTCATTCCCTTTTGCTCTTCGACCAGTTTAGTCAGCTCACATGATAGCGTCTAGTCCTTTTACCGTTTTTCAGTAAAACCCACCATCGGTTGGGGATACGCTAGGAGCTAATCATTTGGAATCTTCCAGGGCGCCAAAGATAAAGGTGACGGAGATAAAAATGAACACCTGACTTTCACCTTTTATTATCAGTCTGTGAAAACGCGCATGGTGTCACTCGCTGAATAAAAAGACAGTTATTAATAAAAAATTATCAAGATTGTACAGGCTGTCACTGTCAGCGTCCCATATTACTGATGTTTCCGCACACCGAGCGCAGCTATGCTAGGTCCTTCGATCTTAGCCCAATTAGCCGTCACGGTGTTCACTGCTCCTCCATATTTCTCCAACAAAAAAAAAAAAATCACAGTGATGCTGCCATGCATTATCATATTCTCTCAAAAATTCAGCACTAAAATCTTTTTTTCAAGAAAATTCTGTTGCCAAGTATAGCACCAGTAAATCTTTGCATTTATCAGTGCTGCATTACAAAAATTTTCTTTTCAGACGTTAGCAAAACCGACAGCTGAGATGAGGCTTGATGGCGCTAAAAGAAATGCAATATACTTCACCATACTTGGTATTGGTAGCGGTTTAGCGACGTTTTTTTCCGGTTTTCTATTAAGCACCGCAGGCGAATCGTTCACAAAACGATTACGTGTCGCAGTTTTTGCTAGCATTGTTCAACAGGTAGTTTACATCCCAATTATTTAAGACGTAGGAAAATTTTTTTCTAAAAAGTTTCAAATTGATATTTTTTAATTTCTACCGAGCCCAACCGAAATCTAAACAATTTATATTCAGAATACTAAAAATTTCTCAAAAATGTAACAATCAGAGATTGTTTTTCTCTTCAAAATTCTATCTTGCATTCAGGTGAGAAAACTCAAAACAAAATTTTAATTGAATTTTGGAACAGAAAATGAACGATGCCTAGTTATTGAAAAATTGAATTTGGTCCGGTTTTGATAATGCATCGCACCAGACCTGAAACCTGTATGAGATATTCCACGTGTACCGAATTTGGGCTTATTGTGCTTAATTTGGGCTTATGCATTAAATCATCATGCACGTTTTGCTTTCACTGCAACACTTTAGGCAGAAAATTTAAATTTAATTATCATTTTTGGCATTTTCTACTTTTTATATGCTCGTTTTTATTCAGGATGGAGAGTACTTCGATTCGCTAGAGCATGCATCTGGTAAATTGATCACTCGGTTAGCTACTGATGCGCCAAATGTACGCGCAGCTATCGATCAAAGGTGTGCCATGCGGCAATTTTTTGGAAATGCAAAAATTTTGAGAAATTCAGATCACTTTTATTTATTTTTGAGATTCGTATTTTTATCCATTCACTATTTAAAAATAAAGACTTTATTAATACACTGGGGAGCAAAAATTTTTTATTGACTTTTAAATTCTGGCAAGAAATCAATTTTGGTAATTCTTCGTCCTGAAATTTGGTGAAAAAGATGACGTTTTTGATTTCCATTCACAAAAACTTTGCGAAGTTAGCTCGTAGATTTCTTGATGTTTCCTGACGTCAAATTGTACTAATTTGATGTATTCTTTTTTTTACTATCTCGAGTACGCTAATATAACGAATGATTTGGGATTTTAGGCTGGCTGATGTGATTCAGGCATTCACAGCCATATTGGCCGGCATCGGTATTGCTTTTTACTACGGCCCCAAGATGGCACCGGTCGGCATTCTAACTGCAATGATACTGATGCTACTGCAGACTATCGTGGCGCAGTACCTTAAAAGACGCTCTGTAAAGGACGATAAGTTAACTCATGAACCATACAGAGTAAGCAGTTCGTCTAATCATAGAGATTTGATAAATTGATAAAAAGGGATTTGATAAAAGAGATTTGATTTGATAAAAAAGGATTTGATAAATTGTACGGATTATGTGGAAGATGAATTCGCTATTGTCGCACGGCTAACTTCTTAATGAATCTCTTGAGAGGCGAAAACTATGTTGCTTAGTGATTCGTTAACTTTGGCGATGCAGATGCAGTATGACAAAAAAGCTTTGTACGCAAAAATGTAAAATATGCAATACACAACGCGCTTCGGGAAATAGTATGATTGAGGAAAAATAAGAATAGTCACCTTTGCCAGAGTTGCCTGCCTATGCTACCACACTTTTTTGCGTGGTTTCGTTCAACAGTAAGATCATTAACTGTATGATTAACAGCAGACCGTCCACTGTTTCACAGTTTGATAAGTGCACCAGTGCTGGAAGAAATTATTGGTCGTTTCTTCCAAGTTCAGAGACGAGAGGAACATTGCTTGAGCCGGTGGCATTGTATTCGGAGCTGTCGCGAAATTTCAGCTTTCTAACTTGTCTGATTGCCGATTGGGGAGGGTCACAATAATTTTGTAAACGGAAATTTGATGTACCACACATGAGAGGAGAACACAGGAGAAAGCTCATTTTATACTTGAGGACCCCTACATGAATGAATTCCCAAAAAATCAATTTTCTCAACTAATCGCAAGATCTTGGCACGTATTTTGTGGAAAATACGCGTAGCGGCTCAAGTCACCCTGGTTCCACTAGCCGGATGAATGTTCGCTAAAAGTCAATGGCCTGCACATAGTTAAATCTTGAAGCTGGTGTTAAACACGTTTAAATATTTAGACATATGCTAGGAAGTCAAACCCTTCATCATCCAACATGTAAGCAGCCCTTGAAAGTGGAAGCCAGCGATTATTCGCTGCAGGCATTTGCTTTCTTAGTGCTCCTGCTTCTAACAGAGCTCGAGTTTGAAAGAGATTTGAATTTTGGTTTTGATAAAATGTACGGGCACGTTAGTATAAGACCAAAGCTTAATTGCAGCTTGCAACTGAAGCTATCGAACAGCATAAAACAGTGCAATATCTCACACGTGAGCAGTACTTCTACGATGCATTCAATCGGCAAATGCGTAAGCCTCATCGAAAAGCCCTCCAACGTGGCGTCGTCCAGGGATTCTCGTTTGCGCTCCACGCCTGCTTTATCTTCTACAATTTTGCTGCCGCATATCGTTATGGCTTATGGCTTATCAAAACCGGAAATTCCGATCCATATCAAGTTTTCCAGTATGTTCTTGCAAAATTTCTTTAATTTCATTTTAATGAAAAAAAATCACTGTACTGAAAAAGCTGAAAAAAAAGTGATGGAAGGCAGCGTATGTTAACGAGAGTAACAAAATATTCTGGACAGTTGGCACGGTTGTATTAATAGTGTCACTGAGAAGATGATTTTGCAAGGTGAGTGCAGATATTTTTAGACGCTGTACTGCATGTTTCCGCTTATACTTACCAGTTGCTTGATATATGTGCGCTAACTCTTCGGGACCAGTCCGAATTTCAGTATATTATAAAAAAAACAGTCACAAACACTTTTTTTATAATTATTCACTTCTATGTGTTACTGTGGCGGGTATGGTACGTAAGTAAGCTACAGTGCGCTTGTAACGAAAATCTAAAGCTTAACTCCATCGCTGTTAGAACCATTCCTTTTACGATTCGTTCATTCTCGATGAGATTGGCACTAGCTCATGCCAGTAATTATTTGTATCTAAAGAATCGCTGGAAGAGGAAGCAGTCAGCAAATCTGATAGCGGTTGGTAGTTGCTACTGGATCTTGCAGTCACTTGGATTTCAGCCGAGTGCCTCCATCTCACGCACGTAGTGAATACGAATTGTCGTGGAAAATTCGCGAAAAGCCAGCTAAGAACCCGCCACAAAGAAAAAGATGGGGTTTGCCTATGAGAGGCAAAGAAGGAAAGAAAGGTGTATGTTGCCTTGAAAGGCAGATACACAGTAGATGTGTTGCCAGGCTTAACCCGACCGCAAGGGCTGGTGGTGTAGTGGTAGCAAATTATGTCTGGACGTGAAGATTGGTTCGATTCCCTACCGGACCACAACAATTTTCAAAAAAGGGTTCCGTTCACAATACGGAGCGAGTTTTGAATTTTATTGCTGTTGACAAACAGTTGGTGACAATAATGACCGAAAAAAAAGTGATATCATCAAGATCAGCTAAACTACTGATAGGGAGTCCTTGTTATCGCTGAGCTGCTGACCATATCCCCGGAACAACCATGCCATGTCCCTCATGTCATTCTGCTGTTAGTAGTATCCAACTCAAATTCGTGCTTTTACAGATGGGTCGCTAGTCTGTATCATTGCGCTCCTCGTACTAACATTCCCAGCATAATGTGTGGCGAATTAAACTTTTGCTTTTTTTAAGTTCATGGTTTTGCCCACTCCTCAGCTCTTGCATTAGGCAGATATTTGAGTAAAACTGCCAGTCTTCCGGAGCAATAAGAAGTAGGGGTGTGGCGGGCGAGAGTGGTAAACGAGGTTCGTTGATAAAAATGTACTGCGATCGCTGATTCTGGTTCGGAGACGAAAATGGAGAAGAGTACTAACCCAAACTAAGAAATACCAGGTTTCCCCGTGCAAACCTGGTATTTTTCAGAGCATCATGTGGGCATCATTTGCAGGTACATTAGCAGTTTCAAAGAAATTATGACCGCTATTCGCATCGTTATCGCTTTTAATATAAAAGAATTGAACGGACTGTAGAAAGTTTTTTTCTTCACCTGGAGACTTTAAACTGACGATTCTTCGTAATACCGCAATACGCGATATTACAATACACGATTCTTTACAAATACAGTACCGCACAGAACACTGAAATTATAATTTAAAGAGTAGTTTTCTTTAAAAAAGTTGTCACCGGACAAGCCATTATTTTCACGAATACCAGAACTGCAAAATCTATCATTGTGGGTATCCTGTATCAGTGATTTTTCCGAGATGCCCCATCATTCCTTTTTAAAATCATTTTTGCCTACTTCTTAACAAACCTTTAATGAAATTTCACTTACGATATTGCAGGGTTGTCGAAGCGCTAAATGTAGCATCGATGAGTTTGCTGGCATTCGGGATGTACTTTCCAGAATATGTTCGAGCCCGATTGAGCGCCAGTTTGATTTTTAAAATGCTGGATGAAAAACCGAAGATTGACAGCTTGTCAGACAAAGGAATGAAATTGGTATGCTTAAAGTGGTTACAAGTTTACCCATTCGCGAAGTACCCAGAATTGGGACAAAAAATGGAACCACATTTCTCCTATCCACTTTTGCCCTCCATCTCCTCTCCCCGTCTGTCCCTAGACCCTTAGTCACGCAATAAAAATCCCTTCCTCTGGCGAAGGCAGAATTTTTCCGCAGTAAGACATCCCTGAAATTTCCTGACTGAATAGGACTTTAGCAGTTTTTGTTAAATACTTCTTCAAATACAAACAAATGGAAGTTAAAGTTGGCATTTTTGTAGCTTTACAACCAAACTAGCAAGAGAACAGAAATTTTGTTTGTTTGTTCCAAGAGACCTTATGACTAAGTGTCCACGAAATCTACCTTCAAAGAAAGTAGCTGTGATAAAATATGGTAATGTTTTGAAAAACATGTTAATGTGTAATGTTCTGAAAACTGAAGCGAAAATTTACTCGAGTAAAAATATCTTTTCCTGCTGTATCTTTTTCCTGCGGCATATCTGGAATACAAATCAAAGACACACTTCAAATTACACCTCCAATCAAATTTTGTTCGTGGAGTAACTGAATTACATAATTCTGAATCCTTTGTTTTTTGGCTCCGTTTAGTACCCGAACAAAGCATACAACCTCCTTAAATATCTAGGTTTAACTATTTGTATGCGTCATCTTAATTTAATGATTTTAAGAGCTACATCGTGAGCTAAGAGGTGAACAAAATTATTTACTATTTTATTACGTCAGTTTTAAACACAGACTTTCAAAAATTGGTGCATCAGTTTTAATTAAAATTGAGTTTGGATCTCCACATTAATTGCAGAAAGCGGACTCATTTATTACCTATAAATTTTTGAATTAAATATTTAACTAATTTCTAATTTTTTTAGAAACTAGAAGGCAACGTCAGCATGGTCGATGTGCTTTTCGCATATCCGGTAAATCAGAAACGACTAATATTAAAAGGATTCAATATCAAAGCCTTGAGAGGGAAAACGGTAGCACTGGTTGGTCCGAGTGGTTGCGGCAAATCAACTGTTGTTCAGCTTATCGAAAGATTTTATGATCCGCTGGATGGGAAAATTGTATTACTTTTTTGTACTGCGTTTAAAATTTGTTATTTAAGGTTAAAGAAAAAATATAAGAAAGAATGATGGAAAAAATGAAAAGAATTATTAAAGTGGGCTGACAGTTAGACTGACAGAAATAGCTGCAGCAATAAGACTGGTTGTGCAATAAATAGGATCTCTTAGTTTCTGATTGCTGAGTTGAAAGTGGGTGACAGAACTCGAAAAAAAATCTCATACAGAGAAGCAAAAAAAAAGCTAAAAAATGGGCAGCTTTGAAGTACAGGTAGCCGTAGCAGCTGTAGTAAATGTTTAGAAACTGTTTCTGTTTTCATGACAAAATAGCAAACTTTTAAGTCATTATTTTTAAAAAATTTGTCTATGTTTTTAAAAGATGAAAACAGTTGCAGCTTAGAAATCAAAGCAAACAAAAGTCAAGCTCTCTGATCATTTACAGTAATTACAGTTTTCAT